TGCGCGGCACAACGTAGACCGTCGTCGACAAGTGGCCGTTGAACGCCATGCTCGCGCGCTTGGCGTTCACGACGACCTTGAGGCCGGGCGACTGCTGGATCTGCGTCACGATGCTGATAGCGCCGTTGGTGGGCTTGGGACCAAAAACGTAGTAGGCGCCGACGGCAGCACACACGACACCACAGACAGCAATGACACCGAGCACCCGTTGCGACCAGCGCTTGGGCGTCGGTGGCGTCGGGAGGAGCGTATCGTCGAGATGTGTCGGCGTCGCGACGGTGTCGTTGGCCATGGTGGAGGCGAAATGAAAAGTGATGACCGAGGTGCCGGAACGTGGTTAACAACGCGCGGCGGTTGGAGGGAATACGAATCGTCGAGGGAGCAGAATAAGTAGACAACACCTCTTGAAGGAAGCTGAAAGTTATGCAAGCACTCGAGTGAAGTTGCTGGTTGTGGGAGGATTGCACCCGTGAAAGCACTTGAGGTCGTAAGTCACATCTGATTCGGCCGTTTCACGAATGGATAATGAATGACCCAGAAGCACTTGCAGTCGCAGCAGTCCAAGATTTTTGCACTCAATGTGAGCTTCTGGTAACGTTAGCTTTTGTTTCGGCTTAGAATTGGTTTTGACCTGTTCAGTTTCGCGTCGGTTTTGCGAGCTCGTGACAATCTACAACCGACCTGGTGAATGCCGTCTACTCTTGATTAATTGTATAGCGTGCAAAATTTGTAGATGTGTTAGTGTGTGGTTCAGCAGTAGCTCGGCGAACTCAGATTTTGTTTGGTTTGCGAGACCGGTGCATATCCTCCTGGGGCGCAGATGGCGTGCAGCCCTGACAGCAACACCTCATGGCCGCAGATGAGAACCACCCTCCAGTAAAACCATCGATGACAGTTTCTCTTGTTTGGCCCGGTCCGACCGCCGGCACGACAGCAGCCGCAGCATTGAGTGGAGTTCTACGCACACCTACTTGTAGAGTGCCAGTACTTGCTGCCGTTTGGAAGTCGTTTGCTCCGCTGCGCCGCCGATTCTAAAACACGTAATAGATGCGTCTTCCGCAAATCCTCATCGGATTCCCATATGACGAGCCTACCGCTAGGACATACGGTTGCCGTGCCCTGGCCAATCTTGAGCTCTTGCGTCTGGTACACGCCATCGTTCATACGCCCGAATTCACACTCGCGGAGCTGCTGGCGGAGAGTCGCTTGCAAATCGCGCAGCTCTTCGCGAAGCGCATCTGCCAAACCACGTGCAGCCGCCAACTCGATTTCACAGGCGTCAGTACATGAGCGCACGCCCCCGTTGTTGGCCCTGCGTCGGGTCGTCACACCTGCGCTGGCTTCGTGGTCGACTTGGGGCGCCACGGTAACCGCGGCTTCCGACTTCATTTTCTTCCAACACATGATGCACGCAACGACGTTGAGGTCACGGTAGCGGCGTACGCATACGCCATTGTAGGTACAGACCTCCAGTGTCCCATCTTCCTGCTTCTTCATGACTTGGCACCTTTGTTTGGTGGCGGCACGGACGGCGGAGGACATACCGTGGCTTGAAATTGAATTGTGATCGGATTTTTTCGGGTGGCAGTCGTCGTACTCGAATGCGCGGAGGTCAATCGTCCAGCCGTCCTTGACTTCGTCGAATGAGCACGGCTCCAGGAGACCGAGCTCCTCGTACTCCTCGCGCACCCACTTCTTTACCTGGTTGAGATTGCTCTCGTACGTCTTCGGAGATGACGTTGTGATGCGCATGTGCCGAGCGTCTTTGATCGTTAACTCCGAGAGGTCGATCTCGCCCGCGCTGTCTCGGCTCGCTGCCAAGCTCGCTGCCATGCCTTAGGCCGTGTTCGGTGTAAAAAGTGGATCTGCACCCAGAATGTACCTCTGCCGGATACACATCCGCCTGGATGTGTATCCGGTTGGCGTCGACGAAGCCACCATCGGATTGCTGACCGAACACGATTGGATCGAGGACTCGTTGGCTGGTATCGGCCGTCAAATTTTTAATCGAGCGAATAAAAAAATACTCGAATTGTCGGCGGGAACATGGTAGT